GGGGTTGCTGTTGCTGTTGCTGTTGCTGTTGCTGTTGCTGTTGCTGTTGCTATTGCTGTTGCTGTTGCTGTTGCTGTTGTTGGGGTCCCTGCTTTTGTTTGTTCCTTGTTGTTGTTGTTGTTGTTGTTGTGGTTGTGGTTGTTGTTGTTGTTGTTGTTGTTGTTGTTGTTTACTGTTGTTGCTATTGTTGTTGTTGTAGTCGTAGTTGTACTTTGTTGTTGTTGCTGTCGTTAATCCTGTTGGCCTTGTGTTGCTACTATGGCTATTGTTGTGGTTCTTACTGTTGCTGTTGCTGTTGCTGTTGCTGTTGCTGTTGCTGTTGTTATTGATGCTGTTGCCGTTGCTGCTGTTGCTGCTGTTGCTGTTGGTATGGTTGTTATTGCGTTTGTTGTTGCTGTTGTTGTTGGTGTTGTTGTTGGCAGTGTTGTTGTTGATGATATTGTCGTTGTTGTTGTTGTTGTTGTTGTTGTTGTTGTTGTTGTTGTCGTTGTTGTTGTTGTTGTTGTTGCTGTTGTTGTTGGTGTTGTTGTTGGCAGTGTTGTTGTTGATGATGTTGTTGTTGTTGTCGGTGTTGTTGTTGTTGTTGCTGTTGTTGTTGTTCGTTTCCTTGCGCTTGTAGTTCTGATGGTAGCAGTGGTGACTACACTAGTTGCCGCATGGTAGCAGGGATGCCTGTACGCTGTAGACGAGCATAACTCGGGAAAGCATAACCTTTGTATCTACCATAGAAACCACAGCTCCTGCCATCGACATGGGTACCGAACTTCGAACCCATGTCCATGACCGCCACGCCACCCGTCGGCCGCGCTGCCTCCAGTAGGGATCACCCTTTCGGGAAAGAGAAACCTTTCAACGAACCCTTGCTGTCACAGCTCTAATTGCAATTGTTGTTGTGAACGTTCTTTGCATGAGAGTGCTCATATCGGTCCTACTGCAGTATGAATGTGTGCAACGCAGCAAGGAAGCATTGTGTTCTTCGGTGATGCGATACACTGGCAGTGGCTTTAGTCGTCATCGTAGTCGTAGTCGTACTCATAGTCGTAGTCGTGAGTCGTATTGGTAGTCGTGTTGGTAGTAGTAGTCGTCGTCGTCGTGGTGGTGGTGGTAGTAGTAGTAGTAGTAGTAGTAGTAGTAACAGTAGCAGTACATGCAGTAGTCGTCGCCGCCGTAGTTGTTTTCGTGTTGGTGGTAGTAGTAGTAGTAGTAGTCGTCGTCGTCGTCGTCGTCGTCGTAATAGTAGTCGTCGTCGTTGTAGTGGTAGTAGTAAGAGTAGTAGTAGTAGTAGTAGTAGTAGTAGTAGTAGTAGTAGTAGTAGTGGTAGCAGTGGTAGTAGTAGTAGTCGTCGTAGTAGGAATAGTAGCAGTCATCATAACAGAAGCAATAATCATAATAACGATAATAGCAGCTTTGGCTGTTGGTGAGAGAGTATCAACGGCATACTACGCAACGAGATCAGCATCCCTGCCCAAGTCCCTGGTACTACAGTTTACGGGTTCAGGCATGTGCTACCCAGCAGTCTTGCGCGTTTGGGCGTCGCCTCGGCTTTGGTGTGCAGGAGTATCGCGTGCTCTCGAGACGTGGATGGGTGCATAGCGACCACGGCGTTCGAGGGAAGCCTCGGCGAGGGCTATGGTTTCGGGTTTAGGGTTTAAGTAAGGACCACATGTTCATGTAGTACCAGTCCAATACTGTAGCATGCTGGAGTAGACTGAGACCGATGTTCCCATAGCACATCCCACGGGTCGAGAATTCTCGACAGTAGAGCAACGACTTCAAGCTTTGACTCATCTCCAGAAGCCGGAAGTTCAACTTCTCGCCTGGACCCCTTCCTCTCGTGCACGGGCTGAGGAAGAAGCTTTCCGAACTTGAAATACTCCTTGCCGTTCAGACGATGAACCTGCGAATACGAAGCTGTTCGCAGAGAACCGTGCGCTTGCTTAAAGGATCATGGGACTTAGTAAGTAGGGTTATAATTAGGGTAACTATACTTATAACCCCAATTAAGGGACTTATAACCTTACTTACTAAGTCCCATGATCCTCCAAGTGTGGATCCTGGAGCTCTCGGATTCCGGGGGGTGAGCAGCTTCTGAACTCTTCGATGGTGCAAGCAGTCCCCTAAGGGTCCATGTACTCATATAGCATATACATGGGCCTTAAAGTACCTATATAGGGACTACATTAAGGCCAATGTATATACTATATGAGTACATGGACCCTTAGGGGTCAGCATCTGGCAGTACGTCGCAGCTTTATCGAGGTAAGGAAGCCATCGCCTCTTGCTTGCCGGCCAAGATTGTTTGTGTTTCATTACCCAAAACTGCTTAATGTTCTTGTTTAGACCTGGGTGGTGCGCAGTAGTGCTGCAGCCGACAAGCAAAGGGAGGCCAGAACCAAACAACTCAGTCTTTTCGCCGCTGCAGGTGGCAATATGAAACCCTAAAGCCATATGTAAACCCCTGCAGGCCTACGTAGTACAACCCTGAAGCACGAAGAAAAACTAAAAATCCCAATAACACCATAAAGCCCCATGCCCAAAAACTATAAAGCCCTACAGCCCTGAAGCCTAACACCGTGTCAATGCGACCCTGAACGTAAACCTCGAAAAACCGTTGTAGTATCCTCATAGAACCTTTGTACAACCCTACGACCACGAGGCCCAGATCCCCTTACAGAACCCCTATAACCCTTTACAAGTATCGACACCTTATAGATGCCTTGAGGGAAGCCTGACAGCAACCTGTTCACAGACACCTTTAGCTACCCTTCTAGATCAACCCTAAACCCTGAGCCCTAAACCTAAGCCCTAAACCCTACACCCTAAACCTTACACCCTAAACCCCAAAATCCAAAACCCTAACTCCCTAAACCTTAAACCCTAAACCCTAAGCCCTAAACCCTCCTGAAACCTCCTAAACCGTAGGTTTAGCGGCGAGGCCTGCTTCTCACCAGAACCATCATCCTGGTCACCAGCGTTTAGGGTTTAGGGTTTAGGGTTTAGGGACCAAGGACACGCGTTAGAGGGCTGATGTAGGGGCCTTAATAACTAGAATAGGACTCCTTTGAAGGGTTCCTTAAAGGGGATACTATAAGGATTCTATAGTGTACGGGCCTTAATAGTTAGAATAAGGTTTTTTGGGTATATTATACTATATCTTTAATAAGGAACCCCCAACATAGTATAGGTAATTATTAAGGCCCCTATAGTACTTCTGGCCGAAGTAAGGTTGGAGGGTTCAATCTGTTAAACAAGAGCCGTGGCCCTCCAGGGTTTGGAGTTTAGGGTTTGGAGTTAAGGGTTTAGTTTAGGGGTTTAGAGTTTAGGGTTTTAGGGATGTGGATGTTCGTCTTCGTCGCCGTCTTCTTCGTGCTTCTTCGTCTTCAATGTGCTTGCTGTCGCAGTCGTCGATACCGTGCTGCTGCAGCAACAACAACCGGAGCAGCTGCGATAACGACAAGTACCGAAGTACAGAAGGCAACAGCATGGCTATTCAGTACCAACAGTGTGAAGACAATAAAGAAGACAGAACAGCAGTATGCACGCCGCCTTGCACTCGACCAGCTCCACCGGCGGCCATCGGACGGCGTCGCTTTCGAGCTGGCCTCAGCAAAACAAAGCAGATCAAAAAGAGGCCTACTAGTAGAAGTGGGAAGGAGGTGCTGATGTTCATTCACACTCCTGTTGCGAAGACACGTGTCTTCATTTCCTTCCTACTCCGTGTGTCAGCATTGGGAAGGTGCCAGCGAAGTACGTACCGAATAGAGGCCCTGCCGGGCGCAGAGAGGCCTAAATCCTAAATCCGAAACCCAGAAACCCTACAGTAAGACCAAACCCTAAGCAATGCAATGCCCCCTCTTCATGCCGAGACACAGCAGAGGAAAAGCCAGGAAGCGAAGTCTGTCTCGTCTTGGATGCTGGCCCGGATCTCCGTGAGGATTCCTCAGAACCAGGTGCGGTCCATGACGTCAGAGGTGTCAAGAGTCAGAAGCCAAACGCAGCCGGCTGTTTCTTATTTCTCCAGTATCCCAGGAGAACTAAACATTAACCTTTGGGATCACATAGGGGCTGTAGTACCTCCAACAATGGTTAAAGGTTACCAACTCTAATATCAGGGTTTCGAAGAGTCACCGCACGACTCTTGGGTTGCCTGCAGGAAGCCTGGGATTGCACATGCTTCGGTGTCAGTACCGACCAGAACGCTGGTAGTCCACGCACTTGTCACAGCACTCGAAGCACAAGCCGCAACGGCTTGGAGTGACAGCATACATAATATGTAACAGCAACATACTGCAGAATAATAGGATTTATTTTCATATAGAGACGTACTGCAGAATAATAGGACTTAATTTCATATACAGTGCTCAGCCCAGCAAAGCATCTGCCCAGGTGATTTTGTCCACGTCCTTTGGTGGACCCCCAGAAGGTATCCTCATCGTTTTCCCACCTGCTTCATGCTTGTGGGTCGGTGAGTGGGTGAAGGGGTTAGGGTTTAGGGTTTAGGGGTTTAGGATTTAGGGTTTAGGGTTTAGGGTTTAGGGTTTTGGGGTTTAGGGTTTAGGGTTTAGGGCCTGCTTCCAGGCTGAGGAAACCAAGCTCGGCTTGGGCATGGGTTCTTTGCGCGCTTCTTCCTCGCTTCTTCGCACAGCTGGGTGTGGTGTGGTGAAACAAGCAGAAACTACACAGCATATCCCTAAACCCTACACATCCCTAAACTCTAAATCCTAGACCCTAAACCCTAAACCCTAAACCCTAAAACCCTAAAACTCTAAACCTTAAAATCCTAAACCCCAGACTCTAAACATCCCCAAATGGCCCTAACATGCACTGATGGTATGCAGCCACAGGCACACCAGATCTCTGTCGCCGGTCTCTTTCAGCTTCTTACCTCGACTTCATGGAACCCCAACCCCCAGGTACCTACTATATAGGGCCCTCGGGGCTCTAGTACCTCATATAGCAGGTACCTGGGAGGTTAGGG